TGAAGACCTTTGCTAGTCACATTTTCTGAATATCCATGATACTAATATTTTATTATTAAAAATTGATGGTCATTATGCTGTTAAACATGATGTAATATTGCATCAAAATTTGAAAAAACCCTATTTTGGGCACTGCTCCCATGATGACCATTTAAGAAAAACCATGTCACTTACTGTTCTCAAACTTACAGGAAAGAAACATGGGACTAAAATACAGCTTCAGTAGGCAATGCAGTCTGTTTGGTAATTTTTTCTGCCAGTTAAACGTTTTTTTTTTTTGTGAAAATTTAAATTTTTCACATATTGGCATTTTCAAGGTGTGACTTTGAAGTTCCACGGGCTTGAAGACCCATGCCAGTCACATTTTCTGAAAATCCATGATACGTATATTTTATTATTAAAAATTGACAGTCATTATGCTGTTAACCATTATGTAATATTGCATCAGAATAGAAGAAAACACAATTTTGGGTGCTGCTGCCATGATGACCATTATGGGAAAACCATGTTACTTATGATTGCCAGACTTTCAAAAAAGAAATACAGGACTAAAATGCAGCCTGAGTTGGAAAAGCAGTCTTATTGGCTTCTTTTTCTGGAAGTTATACATTTTCAAAGTGTGAACTTGAACTCCCATGGGCCTGAAGCCTTATGCTTGTTACACATTTTACTTTCATTGGTATTACCTGTTGAGCATAATTAAAATTTAATGTTGAATTTGCAGTTTAACATAATGTACTTTTGCATCAGAATTGACAGTAGCCTATTTTGTGCATAGTTATTTCCTGCTTTTTGTCTGTACATTTGATAGCTTTGCTGCCTTGTTTAAATTACGTCAACATCCTGGTGATTTATTGAAAAATCTTACTATTGTTGATTTTATTGGAGTTTAATCTTATCATGCGGCTATTAAAGAGTCACTGAGAAGCTGCAAGATGGAGGTATTATCATTTTTTTAAAGATAATCCCCGCATGGGGGTTACTCCGACAGGTGTTGAACCAACAGTGCTGGTAATAACCTCATCTGTCGGCTGTAACCCCAAGTTTTTAGTAAGTCTTTTCTGTCTCTGTAGAACCCTTTTTTGAATTACATACCATGATTTACGTGCAAATTTGCATTTTTTTGATATTCAGAATGGCAAGAAAATACTTAAGAAAGGCTAGACATGACCCTGCGCTCGTGAAAATAGCTGATAATGAAGTGCTTGGTCACTTAGGAACACAGCTTACAGGTTCAACATACCAAAAACAACATTGTAAATGCTTGATCAGTTAAAGTTTGGTGAAGTTATGCCTTTTTTTGTATATAAGTGTTTTTTCCTCAAATTTAATTCTCAGGCATGTTAACAGTCTCATTTTTGAACTAATTAGATATGTTAAGTTGTTCTTTTGACATTTTCTGCATCTTTACAACATTGTTAGTTGATTATATAAAAATGATGGTAAACCTGTTATTGTGTATTGTGTAATAAAGTGTCAAAAATGGAAAAAAAACTCATATCTTTACATTTTGTCAGATTCAACCATTCACTATGTTCAGAATCTCAGAATGGAGCAAGTTGGACATTTATAATTGTTCTATTGATATTTTTTGCTTTGACAACATATTTTTTAATTGATCATATAAAAATGACAGTAAATTGATTATTTTGTTTTATGTAAAAAAGGTGTTGAAAATGGAAATAAACTCCTTCAATACGGTTTTCTCTTGTTTACATTTTGGGATTTTCAAAGTGTGACTCTGAACTCTATGGGCTAGTCACATTTTCCGAATATCCATGATACTTTTAGTTTATTATTAAAAAAATTATGGTTATTATGCTGTTTGCATCGTGTAATATTGCATCAAAATTGAACAAAACCCTATTTTGGGCACTGCCTCCACAGTGACTGTGAAAGGAAAACCATGTCACTTGCTCTTCTCACACCTACAGGAAAGAAACATAGGACTGAAATACAGCTTCAGTTGAAAAATTGTCTCATTAGGTAATTGTCAGGAAGTAATACAGTTTTTTTTTGTGAAAATTTTCAATTTGGAATTTTCAATGTGGGACTTAGAGCTCCCTTGGGCATGAAGCCCAGTGGTAATCAAATTTTCTTAATGTCCATATTTTTAATAGTTTAAAAGCACCAAGGACTGAAGGATCGATATCAAAGGATTTGATAACTGTTTCCAATCAATTGTTTTAAGTCGCCAAATCTAGTTCTTGTCCTTCAGTCACTAAAAAAAATAGCCAGACTAGGTGACCTAAGAATAGTTTATACATATACTGCTGCTAGAGCCTGTTTATCGCACCATTTGACTTATTAAAATATAAGCAGTAGACACAAAAACAGTAAGAAGGGGAATATGAAGCAATCGTTTAACTAGGCATACAGCCATGTGATGTGTGAGGACCATAATACTTCTAAGTTATCATGTTTAGTTTTTAGATGTGACCATATCTTGATGTTACCATTGGTAAAAAAAAAAAAAAATTTAAGTTGTGGGCTCAATTTTTTTCTTTTTTGGCCATTTTTAGGTTTGCGTAGTTTGAGAAACAAGTAATCAAAAAGCACCTGCTGAACAGGTTTTGCTTCCTAGAAATCATGAAGTACAATAACTGCTATATTTGGATTTTCATTATAAAATTTAATAAAGTGAACAGTAATAATAAATGATACAATCAGATGATGCTACCACATGCTACAGAATTTGATTGCTTTGGGTTGCACACTTTTAAAAAGATTTGTCAATAATAAATAACCCGATCTTGATATCAAAGCTGATTTCTTTAAAATGTCATTGAATGTGACTACATAATTATTTTGGGCTAAAATTTTAGATTAAAATGTCAATAATAGATGATCCAATCTAGATGGCAAGTCTTTGATCAAAGTCTTAGATTTTTTTATATTCGTATTTCAGTGGGCATTACCACAGAATTATTTTAGGTTAGAGAATTTGTTGCTTTGGGTTGCTTTTTTCATTTGGTTGCAGACTTTTACAAAGATATGTCTTCAACATTGTGAATTTTACACTTACTGTATTTTTAAGTCATTTTTTTAATTATTATTTTCTCATTGGGTGGTAGCAACAAAACTAAAAGAGTGCCTTACAGTTTCCTTCTTTATAGCAAAAGCACAAATACTACAGGGAAATATAGTTTTATTTATTCAAAAATTATGTATCTCTATGTATATATGGCTTATTATATTACTGAATATGATAGTTCATTTTTAAGTTATCCATGTCTACATCTGAATATTAAAGTGACTTGGTGTGTTAGAATTAGGATCCAATTCTTGCTTTCTACTTGATTGAGCTTTGAGACATGCAGACCATGTAGCCATGACTTTGTTGATGCGTGAGGATCAGTACACACCAAAGTTCAGGCCTACCCAACTACCAGACTCGGCACCAAATGATCCTGAATTCATCGGTAGATCAGACCACACTACCCGTTTTCAAGGTGTGTGTCAGATCGCATTACACAGTATCAGACACGACACCGCTCTTGCCTAGTATGCAATCTGATAGTAACGATTCTTAGCGGGGTTGAAAAGCATTGCATCACCACTCAAAATTTGTTCAGGGTATGATACTGTGTAATGCGATCTGACACACACCTTGAAAATGGGTAGTGTGATCTACCGGTCAATTCAGGATCATTCGGTGCCGAGTCTGGTAGTTGGGTAGGCCTGAAAGTTGATTATAAACCCACAAGTATAGATGTTAGCCACTTTCTGATATGGGTGTCACCACCATGCCTAAAATTACACATGAAAGTGTAGAAAAATTGGGAAAAAGATTCATAGGACTTAATGCATCTTTAGTTGGAAAACCATTTGGTGTTGATTTTGCTTTAAAGCATTATGAAATATTGCATTAAAATAACCTATTTTGTGCATCATTATTTTCTACCTTATGCCTGTCCATTTGCCAGATTTTCTGCCTTGTTCTTTTCCAGGTTGATATCAGCAGTATTTCGGTTGAGTGAAGTAGAGAAACGCGCCATAAGTGCCAACCTGTGTGATATCCTCAGTCCTCAGGTGGGGCGATCGCTGGTCTGGTTACTAAGGCGATGGGTAGTGACATACCTGCTACCCAATGAAAACCATTATAAACAAGTAAGTTTAGAATTATGATCAGTAAATCAGTAAACCTTTTGATTTACGTGCCACTCAGTAAAAAACATTTATCAGCAGATACATATAGATACTAGAATGTTAGTGTATATATACGTAAAGATACATTTAGGGTGCTTTCCCAGAGATTTAGATTGATCTAGAGATTAAGATTTTGATCGACCTAACTCCCTGGGGGTTCACACTAGATTGCAGTCAGCCGAGCGCGCACCATAGTTAATTACCCCCTTACAGCTTTAAGTAGGCGGGACAGACGCTTAAGCCAGCCAAGCTGACAGTAATCTAGTGAGACTCCCCACAGGGATAGATCGATCTAAAAATCTATGGAAATGGGGTGTTAGATACATATAGATACTAGTGGTGTAGTGTATATAGATACAGATACATTTAGATACTAGAATTTTAGTGTATGTACATACAGATATATAGATACATAAAGATATAGATACTAGAGCTGTAGTGTATATGAATATAGATACTAGAGTTGTAGTGTATATGAATATAGATACTAGAGCTGTAGTGTATATGAATATAGATACTAGAGCTGAAGTGTATATGCATATAGATACTAATGGTGTAGTGTATATGAATATAGATACTAGAGCTGTAGNTGGGGTAGCAGAGGGCAGCAGGGTTGATAATCTTAGCACTCTCTTTGGGTTCCTGCATCCAATTCTGGTGGAGAGCATCAAGATTTTAGGTATTTTTGATCAGAGATTTGGGTCAGTGCAGCAAATTCTCAGGATTCAATTTTTAGGCATTTTAATGAAATCTTGCTATTGACAGGAAATATAAAATGTGAAGTCAATTAATCTTTAAAGTGCCATTTCTGTTTATGTGATGTTGGGAAAGGGGGTTGATGATTGCATGCAAGCAAGTCATTTGCATTATTTTTAATTTTAAGCATTATCTGTTTGTGATAATTTGTTGTATTTTAATGAGAATTTTACGTTGTAGAGGTCTACAGTAACTATGAGATGGTGGTTCAACTGGTTTTATAGATAAATTATACTGTTTGTTGTATTTTAATATGATAATTTTACATTGTAGAAGTCTACAGTAACTATGAGACGGTGGTTCAACTGGTTCTGGAGTTGTTTGGTATTGTTGTAGACAAGCAGATCTGTTATCTAAGCGAGGTCAGTAAAAAATCTACAATGTGTATTATAATAATGGATTATATTTCGAAATATTATCTTTACAATTTTATATGTTTATTGTCTGCATATATATATATAATATTCTGAAGTGTGTGTTGGTCTTTTTTTTTTCTTTTTTATTTACTTCACATTTGTTTTATTTTTTTCACCAAAATGTTTTTGATATTTCAAAGTTTATTTATTTTATTGACAAGTAATGTTTGTGCTTGACATATTTCCAGAGAGAATCTCAGCAGTTGTATGAGAGTTGTCTGTCCTGTATCCAGACTTACTCCAAACTTAACATGGGTAAATATATAAATATACCTCTCACCTGGAATTACACGTTATAATGGTATCCAGACTTATTCTAAACTTAACATGGGTAAAGTAGCACCTCTCACCTGGAACTACACATTATAATGGTTTATACTGCTATCACACAAAATACCTGTTATGCAAATATGTGTATATAGGTTTTTTTCAATGATTTTGACTTATAAATGTTTATGTACAAAGTTATATGTAAATTGTCTGACATTGCATGTCTTTTGTCACTTTTATTAGTAAAAATGTCATAAAAAGAGATAAAAAAAAATCTGCATATGATAGATATTATTAAGATTCTAACAGTGAATGCATATAAGGTAGGGTGGTTTGATATTATGTGATGTGGATATGTTTATATTTCTTAAAGGAAAAAGGTCAGTGGAAGCTGATGCGGAGGAGGACAGGTTTACAGATATTTTACTGATGATGGAGTTACTGACCCACATGTTGTCCAAAGACTTCATAGACTTTGGTGTGGGTAAGTAACCTAGTGTGTGTGTGTGTGTGTGTGTGTGTGTGTGTGTGTGTGTGTGTGTGTGTACATAATCTAGGCCAAAGTTACATAGTCTGATTTAGAACTGTCATTTCTAAATCTAAGTCACTCACAGTGAGTGTGTAATGATGTGAGTCAAGGACCTGGAATGAATGACCTAACAGCTTAAATCCTCAGTATGCATTATATGTGTATGCTGTTGAAGAAAATGTGAAAAATGTAAGATTGTTTGTTTTTATCTTGACCCATTTTCATCTTTAAAGTAATAAAGGCATTTAATATTTTCAGAAGATAACAATCCTCCTGATCAACATATTAGTGCTGCTGATGTTATACTACATGGTCTCAATATCCTGGTCCCTCTCATGAGTGCCGAGTTACTCAAGGTAAGTCTCCTTGTGGCAGCCCCGGCACTGTGGTGGTCTTGAATTATATTGTTATCTTTTAATTATAAAACAATGTGATGAATATCTTCATTTTGTTGATTATTTATTCATTTTATGTATTCTGAACCTATGTTGTTGTTGAAGTAAACAAGTTTTTTTACAAAAAAAATAAATATAAGTTCATTTTTTAAGTGTACCCTATCCCTAGAGGCTGTTTATTTATTGACATTAAAGACCATTATGTATTCCAGTTCCCGTCTCTGTGTAGCCAGTATTTTACCCTGATCATATTATGTATTCCAGTTCTCCTCTCTGTGTAGCCATTTTACCCTGATCATATTATGTATTCCAGTTCCCCTCTCTGTGCAGCCAGTATTTTACGCTGATCATATTATGTATTCCAGTTCCCGTCTCTGTGTAGCCAGTATTTTACCCTGATCACATTCATAGCTGAGATCTTCCCAGAGAAGATATGCGAGTTGCCGCAGCAGTTACAGGACAGTTTGTTGTCTTCTCTGGACCTGGGACTCTCCTCGTATCCTTGGTGATAATCAAGGGCAGATTGTGGCTGTCTTCTGGGTCTTCTGGAATACGGTCAGATTTTCAAGTTTACATTGATGGGTATCTAATTTTTTTTTTTTTTTTTTGTTCTTGAAAGATGGTCAAAAATGGAGGATTGTTCAACAAAGATAATTTAGAAGACTGTCAGATAATGTTCATGTAACAACAACTGGCACAGTAACACTTTATACACACTTATGGGTAATTTCATTGAAATGATTGCTTTCAATTACAGTGGACATATAGTTTGCTTTATGTTTACATATTTTCATTTATGCCAACATGTGCAGTACATTATATAGACACTCAGTATAATGATAGTTATCATTTTCTAGATTGCCAAATTATTTAGAATAGTAAATGATAATGATAATTTTAAAAAAACATGAATGACTTTATATTTGTCCAAATTATTATTATTGACTTTATATTTAAACCTCTTGTAATTGATTGAATGGCCGTGTTTTGTGTTCCTTGACTCAGTTATCAGTTATGGCACAGAGGCAACTCGTCATTGTCTGGAATTTCTGACATCTTTAGCAAGCCACATCTTTGAGAAGAACCTCTTGGGGACGAGGTTACATGCAGCTTTAGCGCACTTTCTAGAGGTCAGTTCTATAATCATCCACAACCCAATGATTCTGTTTGCCATTGTAAGATTTTAGAATTCATATTATTTTATATAAACTAACTATACCAGGTTAGTCAGGTTCCCTGGCTAAGAACTTAATTACCAAGGTTACATGGTCACTTGGGCACATCTTGCCCTATCAGGAGCAGTGTAACAGCATTCTCATGGAAATTTTAGTCAACTTAGCCACGGAACTGACTTAAGTTTTTTCTGAAGAATAAGTTGACTTGTAGCTTCACTGGTGTAGTTGATCTCATCAGCACTTTTTCACCCATCACAGGACTTTTGTACTGTAACAACATATTTAGTGCAATATATGACATTATTTATTTATTTATTTATTTATTTATTTATTTATTTAGTTAATAAATTTTGCATGGACAGGAATGGGATAAGTCCTATCCCCCTTGTGTCTTTTAACAATCAAGTTTGTTTATTCTGTTTACTTGTCTTATGCTACTGAGGTTCTGTGTTTATTTACTTTCAGCTGTTGTTTCAACTTCTATTCCTGGATTCCTTTGACATGGATCTTCTAGATGTAGCCAGTCAGACCCTCTTTACACTGATGTGTTGTCACAAAGTGAGTGAAATGTAGTAGTATTAAGAGAAAAGACAGCTATTAACTGCTGGTGTTATGAACAGTTGATTGATTTCATGGGTATTTCATGCTAACTTTAATAAGCAGAGTAGACAATTCTACAGGCATGTCATGGTATTAGAGAGTTCAACTTAGAATTTCAATGTGTAGTACTCTTATAGAGATGATTTTCAAAGTGAAGTGACAAACTATTGAATTTAACAAACCAATACTGTTGTCTGGATATATCATAAAGTGGAATGAGCAGAGCAACAGTGAGGGTTTGTTTTAACCTAAAAATGTGCCTTGAGCTGTGCCATTGTGTTACGTTGACAGAGCTTGCTGTAATTTCAGGAGAAGTACCATGCATTAGTCCAGACTCTTCTTTCCAAGCAGACAGATGCCTTATATCACACCAGACTGGTGGAAGCCTTTAACAAACTGACTCCTGCTACCTTACACTTAAACCTCCACAGACAGAGCAAAATTGCTTTTAGACAGAACTTTGACAGATTTCTTGTTGATGTCAGAGGGATATTATGTGTGAAATAGTTCTATTAAGGCCAGTTACCAAATGGTACATAACTGGGGCCTATCCTACAGCAGAGGCTGTTTTAATGTGGCATACACTGGCTGTGGCTTGGTTCTTAGACATATTTATTTGACATTTTAGTCCACTCTCGTAAATAAGGATGAAACTGTGTTAGAGATGAATTGATAACAATGGTTATGTTCAAAGATTTTTATGCAGAAGAATTACTCTCCAAGGTTTACAGATTCCTGTTTTTGAAAACATTTGATGCAATCTCATGATCTTTTTTCTATTGGTCAAGTACAGGAAGTACCGAACAACTATGCCAGCAATATTAACACTTGGGATAGTTTTCATAATTGTTTCTTAACTGTTTTCTTAACAATTTCTTAATTGTTTCTTAACTGTTCACAAAGAAATCTTGTTTGTTTTCCCTCAATTTTTCTTCCAAAATAAATATGAGAAAGGACAATAAAGTCAAATTTTCATAGACAAGTTTTATCTTTGAAATTTAATTTTTGTTAATTGATTAATTAATTAATTTATTTATTTATTTATTTATTGTGTTTATTTAATATGCACAGGTTTATTATATGAAAATATGCAAACATATACATGTATCATATAAATATCAAATTGAGTCCCATTCAATCCTACTTCTATGAACATCAAAGAGAAAAATCTTGGATCTTAACTGTGTTGTTTAGTGCATGTCCACTATGTGAAGTAGAGTTTGAGTCTCTATTTTATTTTCCCAAACATCAAAGGCCACATTCAGAACAGTGGACTAACTAGTCTGAGTGTCAAGTATAGCGGCCAACTAAGAATATAATCTGCTATAAAACACTAAATAGATTCCCCGTAGGGAAGTATTCAAGTGGGTTGGCCATATTGACTCTCGGACTAGTTAGTCCACTGTTCTGAATACGGCCTAAGTTATCACTGTGATAACCTAACTCCATACAAAATTATCCACTTTCTGCTATGTGTTGCTTATTTGTTGATCGGATGTCAACTTATGCGAATAACCCAACAGGCACAGTCAGAAATAGCCTTTGTGATTCCATATTTATCTATACTATTTGTTGGTTGTCATAATAAACAACTATGATATTGTTGTAGGCGATTAATAAAGATGAAAATCAGTCACTTGCTAGGGCTCTATTGTAAAGAGGGTCTTGCACGAACACACTATTTCAAAGTACACATTATGGTCGTGGTGTGGGGGGGGGGGGGGGGGGGGGTGAGATGCGATGGCCGACCAAAATGTGTACTTTGAACATAAACATCGCCTTGCATTCTCGCTTTATAAAAAAACTCCATATTACAAAAAAATCAAAATGCTTGTTTATGTTGAATTCCACATAGATTATACGTAAGCTGTTGATTTACATAAAGCAGTAGTATTGAGTTAAATTTCACTGAATTATAAAGAACTTCTTGTAGATAAATCAAATTTGAAGTACGGGGCGTTTTACATGAAAATGCATGTATAAAATGCATTTTTGTTATGTTTGTCGGTTCGATACATGTGTTGAAATTCTTATCTGTAGTTGGCAATACATGAAATGTAATTTTCAGCTCGTCTTCCTGACATGCAAGCACGCTGTCCTGTCATATTCCCTCTTTATCATTCCTAAGGACTGCTGAGCCATGATTATGTTTCTATTACATCACTCCACTGCCGAGATGTCATGTTGAAGACAATTGAAAATGAATAATTGACGCAGTAAAGAAGGTGCTCCGTTATCAAAATCAATCAACAGCCTTTTGTCCCAAGAGAGAGAGAGAGACGGAATGGGTTTTATGGCATGTTCAAGTATATACGTAAGGCTTGAAAAGGAAACGGGACATTTGGTCGTAGAATTGCCGTTAGTTACTGTTTACAATGCTCTCCTCACCGGCAGGATAGCGCTTGAGTCAAGGCTTTATAGCAAGAAGCTTCCATGGACGAAAAGCCTCTGCGACGCCGTTTGTCTTGTTCAGTTGTGGAATTTGTGGATATATCTAATTTAGTGAGGTACGTGTATTGTGAGTTTCAAACGCAATTGTACCTGATAGATGGACGGACGGACAGAGAGACAAATGGGTGGAAAGACAGAGAAAGATGGATGCAACAGTGACAAAAAAAAAAAAAAAAAAAAAACGTGTTCGAAGCTTAATCAAAATTATTAACCATATACTTTAAAAAACCGACTGGTAGTCATTATATGTAAAATTTGCCATATGAAAGAAATCAAATGGAAGTCACCTAAAATTTAATCAAAGGTGTATAATTTATTGCAGGTCACGCAGCTCGTGCACGATGACGTCTGTGGGGGAGATAGAGCCCAGTTTACTGCCGAGCCACTTCAACTCCGCTTTACGACATTACAAATCGTCTGCCTGCTCGGACGGCACCGCCACTAATCTGGCAGAACGCCGCATTAAAGGACGCCCGTCTCCCGGGAGGATGTTCTATAGAGAAAAAAGTGCACCGACAAGGGGCGAAAAGCAGCTTGTAAGCGGGATTTTACAAAACAGGGGGTTTTCAAACGCGGACGCCAATCTTTATAGTACCGCCGTTCTTGAACATCAGAACGCTTGGAGGCTCGTTCCTGCTTACCAGCCTTCCTCCGACAAAAACGACACAACTCCATTACTGACAGTACGGCGTTTACAGTGTCGAACGCGAGAGGAGGAGGAGATGGACACACCTGCCTGTGCGTCACAACAAGCTGGAATGCAAGATACCAAACACGATTACGACGAACAGGAAAAATCTGGCGGCATTCATATTTATCTTCCAAGAATAGAAATTGACGAAAGTTAGATTAACACTCGATACTGCCCCGATTGCTCAAAAAGACTGACTTTTAAGAGGCAGATTTTAATAAGGCACCATTTGCCATTAGATGTAACTGTTCAAAGTCATAAAAAAGTGCACCTAATGTAGTATCATGCAACCCTTTGTGATACTTTTTCTAAGACAAGTACCATTGAAGTTGCATAGACACCTGCTCAGCTACGACATTTTCTCCTCAGTATCTGAGTACCCTGAACAACGCTAATAAATAGACGTTAATCGTTTTTTTGTATCTATTCAATGCATTGATCTTTTCATATCTTGCTTTAGTCTCATTTTACCTACATTCACAGGAAACCTGTCAGCTGTTTCTGAGGAGACACTTCAAGTAACGTGTACCCTGACATACAGGTAATCTATAATTGATCACCGTTTTTTATATATTGATATTTCATTTTTGTGAATATAAAGGCCTCAGTACAAAGTGACAGGGTGTCCGCGAGTTTGTCTTGATAAAGCACTTTACGTCACGACTTACTTGGTTTATTGCAACAGATACTGAGAAATAAATCGATCGACTGTTTTACTAAGATTGACTGATCGGCTGAGTACAGGTGGAGCGCACTTCATTATCAGAAACTTGCACATTTCAACTTGCCACAATAATACAAGTGCTTTTGTTTGTTTTGTTATGAAAACATGTGAAAAAAAAACGCAGTTACTGAAAACATACTCAGTGATATCGTAAAAGCAGCGGTATGTAACTGAGACTGAAATACTGCGTACTTTTCAATTCAGGATATCAATCACTGCTAAACACAGGAAGGAAAGAGTTAACAGCACTTTTGAATATAGAAGTCTAATATGAATAGAAACAATTCGATAATACATTAATTAAGAAACGCACAAGCAACATTTTCTCTTATATTTTCAAAAGGAATTGGAAGTTTGATGAAGTGGCGGAAACTGTATACAAATCTGCAGAATTAATCGTCAAAATGCAGTCAAACAACCCCGCCCAAAGATATCATGAAAAAATAAGTGTAATCTGTCAAAATTATAACTGGGGGCGTGGCTACTGAAAAAAGACCGTTTTTCCCCCGAGGCCTGATAACGAAGGCTGCCCATCATTTCTGCATGGTGGTAAAACATTTAAAATACCCAAGACTATCAAGATTCTATAAAAATCTGCTACACCACAGCACCGTATAATGACGAGGGCGTTGCTGGAGGAACGCTGGGAAGACAATCCGTCGAAACTTGCGTCTGGATGGGTCTGGTCACGGCAGGGTGGGGGCGAGAGGGGGGCGTCAGCCTGGGCAACGTTGGCATCTTCCAATCCGCTCTCTGGCGCCGAATACGACGGTTTGATGAAGTGTCTTTAGTGCTGGGTTCAAGCCTTATGAAACCACACGTTTTGGAACTTTTGTAATGTTCAAACTGTTTAGTTTTCTCTGCGTGTCTAGCTTGTTGTTTTGTCCAATGTTGAATCCATCTTTTCTGTTGACTGCTCATGGCGCCGCTGTGTCGGGCATGGTCATTGTTCTTGACTCCCTCGTTTGTATATAAAAATGGTAAAAGATGGGAACTGTTTATATCTGAAGGCCTGTTTATTAAACGTGTTCTGCTGACACATTTTTGTTTTTGGACAAGTCCGTTCATCTGTTGTCCTGTCCGTAACGCCGCCTCACCTGGAGTGTTGGCGCTCTTTCTCCCTCCAGTGGCGCTGACGGGGGCAAGTCCATGGCTGTTTTCCCTTGCGAGATCATACGGATATAATTTATCCACGATTTCGTTCACTGGCTGCGAACAGAGCGATTTAAGCCATGTTCTCTCGCGTTCCACCGCCCCATTCAGAGTTAACCGAAGACGCGCCCAGAACCCTAGCGGCAGCCTGTGTGCTGGCGTCTCAGTGGAGGTAAGGGGACCAGACTGTGACCCCTCTTGACGGCCGAGAGGTCCTGACATCAAGTGTTGTCTGCTTTACATGGACACTAATACAAAGACAAAACTTTAGGCAAAATGTTGGTGACGAGAAGTCATTAAGTATGGAATATTGTTTGATTACTTGTGTAAATCCTGGAAATCTTTAAAATCTGAGATTACCTCAGAAAAGGATCAATACTTAGACGCAACTGAACAAAGTCAGGGAGGGCATTATCGTCTTAACAGAGGATTCTATATTATATGCTCTACAAAGCACAATCGGTTATGAGCCCTTCGTTTATTCATTAATAAATGAATAATAAAACTACAAATATAGAATCCTTTCAGAAAGATCAAAAATAAATCTGATCGTTATTTTCCGGGACGGTGATCATCTTAAGCTACAGTTCATTATTAACCGACTTCTGCCTTCGATTTCCAATTAGATTTTGTTGCCGTAATGAAATATGCATGAGAGCCGTCAATAGTGAGAACTAGATTTGGCGACTTAGAACAATTGATTGGAAACAGTTCTCAAATCCTTTGATATCGATCCTTCAGTCCTTGGTGCTTTTAAACAAACATGGCTGAACATGATCGCACTTTACCCAAACCCCTCTTCAATCTCCTCCAAGAAGAAGACATCGCCGGTCAAATGAAGCGCAGTAATTCACCTCTGTGTCAAGATGTCCGCCTGCGGGACCTGCTGGACAACAGTTACCAGCCGTCATGGCAGGACTCTTTTGTGAAACGGCAACCAAAGTCCACCCTGGTCATAGACGCCAATACTGAAATCTTTGGAGAACAAACAGAAGAGGGGCAGGGTCTACGGGGAAAGCTGTACACAGAGATCATCCGAGCGTTCCCCAACAGATCGAGTATTCCACTACACAGCTATCTAGAGATGGAATACAGCATGTTGAAAGATGGAATTCAACCAGCTTCACAACAATACATGAACTTTGTCACTCAAAAACCACTGCAAACAAGGGACATGGCAGAATATCAGAAGACTTTACAACAACAGGCAGCAATTAGGGCTCGAAATCGACCGGTTCCTAATAATTCACCACAGAATTCAAAGGAGAAACTTTCTCCGGAAAATATTAACAATCGAAACAAAACGAGACTTTTTACTTACACTGTAGCGAACAACACAAGCAAAAACAATAAGAACGAGACTGCAATGCAAAAGATGCATTCCAAAAACAGCAGCATGGACGAGAGTTTGCCTCCTATCTTGAGGAGCACGGGCACAGATCGGCCGCGAAGGAGAAATAACAGAGTTCGCTTCAACATAGGAGGGGACGACCTCATCGACGCCGACAAGGCATTTGGGCGAGCCTCGCCTGGTCTGCCGGCGCTGGTCTCAGCGGAAAATGCCGAGGTGGATGCGGGAGGGGCCTGGGACGACGAACTGCCCGCCCACCGTAGACCGGTGGTCACGTCTAAGGAGGACAACAGTGGGGAGCCATGGTGGCTGCAGAGACTGTGACTTCAGAGGAAAGCGATTTTTATTCATTGTTTACAATGTTACATGTGTACGAAAAGCAGAGCTGAAGAGCTTGATACANCTGAGACCGTGAAGTGGTCTTCAGCATGTGCAGTATGCAATGACAGCAAAACCCGAGCCGCGCACCTGTTGACATTAGTTTACATCAATACAGATATTGGCGTTATAATAGGATACTGGGACAATAACAGGATATAGCATATAACAATTAATGATGTTATAACGGAATACTGAGATAAAGGCATATAACACAACAAGTATTAGCGTTATAGCGAAAAACTGGGATAAAAGGCATATAACATATTACAAACATTTGCGTTATAGCGGAATACTGAGTTAAAGGCAAATACCACATGACAAAAAATATTGGCGTTATAACAGGACACGGAATATGATAAATAACAGACTCCTGTGATCAAATTGATACGATTTGTTCTCAAAACTATTTAAGAAAGGCGTATTTAAATCTGATGTCATCGCGTTTCACAGGCGCGGACCTAGTCACGAGAACCGCTGATCCAGTTGTTACACAGTTGTTGTGGGTGGAATTCACACAAGTTTCAAGCCACGAACTTTTTTTCAAAAGTTGCACACGTGACACACGTTTTTTTCTTCTGGTATGTAAAATTTTGATCAAGCTGGTAAAGGAAGATATGGCGGTTGAATAGCTCAGGGAATTGTTACATTTCAAGAAAAATATAAAACAATTAGCATCACTTTTGTTTCCATGGTTTTACTCATAGCATGCTATATAAACAACTACATAGTTAGCCTGGCATGTGACAGGTTTTGATAAGGAACTTTGTGATGTGACAGAACGTTTGGGGTGAGGGGGCTGTGTGAGGTCATCCTGATTTTACTTGTAAAACTGGCTCTGAAACAGGCATAGGCATGTTTTAAGTATATTTCAGTAGTCTTGAATTCAGGGTGGAGCACTGTGTTTGGGAAACTTTGTTATTGTTTAGAGGACACATATATGTAATAGGTACAGTTTATAGTTTTCATTAACAACATGGTTTCAACCCCAAAGTTTGTTCTTGCTATTTCATAAGTAAAAAGATGTAAATTTATATTCTAAAGCACATTGAATGCAGTATTATACACATCTATACATTGCAGGAAAATATCAACTATTCATGTTTCTAGTTTAGTCACACTCATGAGATTTCTATTAAACAGAAAAAGTAACAAGGTGTAAATACTGCAGTAACTGCTCAGATTTTTATAAATACCAGGTTTTATTTTCATTTGATAAAATGTTATTAGTTTTATGTACATATGTATATTTGTATAAAATAAAAGTACACTGTTTCAGTTTACAGCATTTGTTGCAGTTACATCTCAAAATTAACTCCCATCCTGGATCACATGGCTCAAAGAAGAAACTTGTTTATACTCTTTGCACAATGTCATCCAAAAGCTGTACATGTGGTTAAATTCTTTCAATTATTTCATAATTTCTACAACATTTCTACAAGTGTCCATGCCAAAGTATCCATCATCAAGTATTGAAGTATTCGTCCCACTGCAGTCTTAGAAATTATAAGGTTTTCAGTTACCAGCAGAGGTATATCTCAGATTCTCATTGAATTTCAAAATGAACAGGTTAAGAACACTCTCTTTACAAGATGAGTAAGATGTCCTGGGTGGAGAGGAAGGCTGACACTATAACACTGCTACTTTTTATCTTCCTTCATGTGTCTATTTACCTATTTAACTGCATTATAGCTTCATATCTTTCATTTCAGTACTTCACTAATCACCTATTCTTTGCATTTCAACAGTTGAGAGTGCCTCAGACAGGTTACACCCAAAACATCACAGTTACAATCCAGGATTGAAGGTAGATGGCCTTGTCATGCTTGTGTAAACCCTCTTTATCTTGTGCTGCAATATTGGAATGCTGCCCTATCTTTCCAACTCTCAGTCACAGACAGGCTTTACACACATATTGCATTGTCAGCTGCAGTCAAACTTTGAAAGGGAGATGTTCCAGCTATCCCTGTATAAACCTTCCTTAATCCCAGTACTTAATGACCCCATCCCAGCCTGCCGTAGCCACCTTTGACGTCTCATGGGGGTGCCACAGACAGGCGATACACACGTCATCATGGGCTTTAAACTTGCTGTACAGTTTGGTGGTCTTCCAGTCCCAAACAAACAACTTCCCATCAGCATCTCCTGATATCAGATAACTGGAAGAAAACAGATTAAGTGTCTGTAAAGCAAGGCTTATCATATGGGGCATTTACAAATACAACTGTCAAATTTAACGCCCTGTGAAATATCAGCAAAAAGGAGAGTGCACCACTTTCCTGATATAGTTAACGAAATGAAAATTGCAAATATGAAAAAACTGACGTCATTATCATAACCCAGACTGCATTAAGAAGCAGGTAAAAAGTGTGTTTTACCTCATGTCAGGTGAGAAGTCCACACTGCAGGCATAGCCAGCTACCTGGAATCAGACAATGATACAGGTCAACTTAAGATCGAGAGATGGAGAGAAGAGAGATGTTTATCAATCACAACTTAGCAAATTAAATACATTCTCATTATCAATCAACAAATACTGAAAAATTGCACAGGTAAATCAATTTTAGAGTCAATTAATAATAATAATAATAATAATAATAATAATAATAATAATAATAATAATAATGATCACATACCATGTGTCCCTTGAAAACCTTCTTTCTCATGTACTTGAACCTGTTGAGAACATTGAAGATGACCACTTTGTTATCCATAGCTTGACACGCCAGCCACTTGCCTGGAATCATACCAATCTCATCTTTATAAATATTTACTATAATTTATATGTTAAACATGACCACTTGGTTGCTTGACAGGCCATACCAATGTCATCTTTATAATCTTTTATTACAATTTATTTATTAAAGATGACCAAATTTTCCACATTCATTCCAGAAAACCACACTTAATGCTACCACTTGGTTTTATCTCTGCACACAAAACTGTGACCTGATAACATTCGGTGAAAAATTGTGGAGTGGGGCTTTAAAATACCCCATACTAGGAAACATTCTAAGTTTTACATGTTTATTCCTTTCCTTATAAACATTCTATCTGTCTTCCTGTAAAATCATGTTAGCTTTCCCTTACCGTTGTGAGACAGCGTCACAGCAGGCATAGAATGCATACTTGGGTCTGCTATGTACTTAAAGTCCACTGGGATATCCCTGGTAACATAATTTATAATACATTATATAATACAACCCATATAAATATTACTGTATACTTGGGTCTGCTATGTACTTAAAGTCCACTGGGATATCCTTGGTAACATAATTTATAATACATTATATAATACAACCCATATAAATATTACTGTATTCATTTTGTGTTAAAATATATTAAGCATGTGCCTAGAATAGTCTTATTCAGATTAAGATTTGCAAGCTATGACAAAGTTATGGAAAAAGCTTAATTTTAAATCTTAGTGCTGAAAATAAAATATACTGATTTTTACAAATCACAGAAAGTATATATGTAGTTCCTGTAACTTACCATTCCCAGACCCGGAGAGATTTGTCATCTGAAGTGGTGACAAACCTTCTATTCTGATCAACAAATGTGATGGTGTTCACAGCTCCAAGATGGCGGTCATATTCCTGGACGATCTCCCCGGACCTCGTGTCCCACTGATGACAAATACAACACATTCTGTATTAGCAAACCAACAAAACCAACCCATTACTCAGCTTTGACATTTTAGTGAATTAAATAACAATTTGGTCCTATTTACAGAGTAAGGTAACTACAGCTGTGGAACCTGCTTCAGATTTCTAGAAGACAAAGTAAACTAAAAACTTCAACTACTAAAGTCCTTTCCACCTAGATAAGTCACCCGCACTCACAATGCTGATGTTCTAAACTTTCATTTCTTCAAATACTGGTAGGATTCTCACAAATTGGAAAAAAGACACCGACAAAAAATAATCACATCAATTTTTTTATAAAACTCACACAAACAATTTTCTTGTCTGAGGTGCCTGCCACAAAAAGGTGCTGTTTGTCCTCGTCTGGGTTAAACTTGACGCAGTACGGCACCTTGCGGCTGGTAAACCTGGACGTACACTGACCTGGAGTGGACAATTAGAAAGTTACAGGTGTATAATTCAGTCTCTAGTGATAATCAAATACAATTTCCTTGAATTAGTTGTATAAAATAATCCTAAAGTTCTAAACAATATCTGTTTCATATGACTTAGTAAAATATTACAGCAATATTTTTATGAGATTCATTGACATAACTTCAGGACGGAAACCTTGAAGTAAGTTATCTCATCTCAAAAGTATAGTACATTTATGAGAAAAGAAAAAATATTATCCAGGATCCAACACTATATATCTTCTAAGATAAAACACTGATTCCTTTCCCCCCTGTCCCCGTCTCACCAGTTTCTGTGTCCCATAGTTTACAATATCTGTCATAGCCAGCACTGAGGAAGTGTGTGCCATCATTGTTAAAACTTATATCTCTAACTGCTTGTTTATGTCCACTGTATGTTCTGATACATCTCCTCTCATTGTACACTTCCCAGATCTAAAACACAAAATACAAATATCATTATATTAGATTAAAAATAAAATAAAATCTGGGCAAAGAATAGGAAAGACAGATGCTTAAGTCAGTGTGATGTTTGCTTTCTTCAAAAGTGAAAGAAACAAATCTGGTTAATCCTATATTGACATAATGGGTAGACTGAATATGTGCTTTAAAGGTGCTTGGTCTAAAACCTCTGAAAAGATAAATGGTGTTTTCCATAATGCCAGAATAAGACTAGGATGTCTAACTTGATCAAAAACCACAGGGTAAAACAAGGGTAGAAGTATAAAAATGCCAGATATGTTATCTATTAAGGTTATTTCCCTAGCCATCAAAAGCAAACAGCAAGTAAACACTACCCGCTTCCTGGTATCTTGTGAGTCACAAAGATCATAGTGTAGTTATCATGTTTTTTCATATCTCCCTGTGTTAGCTAATCAGAAAGTGTATCTTCCTGCTTGCACTTTAGCACAATTCCTCATTTATACCATCACATGTATATGGTCACAAGACCCCTTCCAGAGAAGTAACCCACATAGATCATTTGATTCACTGGCTGTAACTGGTCCACAATGGTCACCCAGAACACAGGACATGGCACGGTGGGCATCTGGTTAACAGCATGTAAGAACATGGCTTCCTACACACTTTCCCACATGTTAATTTATTATCAAATCAGCTCATAATTACTGAGTCACACTTCTCTATACATGTGCTAATTCACTATCAAGCCTTTGGTCAGTCATTTCATAGTTCATGGATAACATTTTCATTTTAATATCTCAAGCGAATGAGACCTGACTTTCAAAATGTTTCATCAAGATTTTCATGTCTATGTGATATCTGTTGTCTAGACTTGGTTAGTATACACTATGTATCAGCCTGATTCGTGATAGTGCTCTCCATATCTCTTGACTTCAGCATCACTGGTTGCCGTGTCAGCAAACTTTACCACCACCAATATGTCAAGTACTTGGACATCTCTGGTACCACTTACATCTCCAGATCCACTTCCACTACAACCACCTCTCCCTTCAGGTAACTACTGAACACTACAACCACCTCTCCCTCCAGGTAACTACTGAACACTACAACCACCTCTCCCTCCAGGTAACTACTGAACACTACAACCACCTCTCCCTCCAGGTAACTACTGAACACTGACCATTGCTTTGTAGATTGATTTTTTGAGACACCTGAATTTCTTGACAAGAAATTTTTACATGCATATAGATGAGAATACTTGTGCCAATCTAACCAATATCATTTCTTAAATTAGAGTTTATCATTGTTCTTTTTTATCCCAGTTCCAATGCCAACCAATATCTCAGCTCTGTGGTGTCATACTAACTTGACAATTTCCTGGGAGAACCCAGCAGAGGGTAGTGCTGATGTTTTACATACTGAAATCCTGCTCCTACACAACAATTCTTACCTCTGGGAGACCAGAACACTGATCTGTAAACACTGTTCTAATATCACTGTGAAGGGGCTTGAAGATAATAACAAATATACTATACAGGTATCTCTTTTAGCTTTTCCAATATATCAATCACACAGTAATAACATAAATGATGGAAATTCATCTGTGTAGTCTTTTGATTATTTAATACACTTGCTTATAAAATAAGCAAAAACACAAAGATAATTTTTTTTCTTCATTATTTCAAATTTGTCTTTTAAAATAAAGAAAGGCTTATAAATATCCTACTAAAAGAAGCTTGTATTGATCTACCATAATTCAATTTACTCTCATCTTTTTTCAAGCTTAGGGCACATACTGGCTCAGGAAGAAGCAATTACTCTGATTCGCTGGTTATTTCACCTGGCACTACAACCACATCTACCAGTAAGATGAATTGTCTAGCAAGTCAATCAAACTAGCACTTTACAAAATATTCTGTTGAACTTTTGATTTTGATAAGTATATTGCATATACTAATATATATTTCCTGTTTTTCAAATTTTCATTCAGTCAAAGAAAAATTCTGATTGTAAAACTAGTTTCAATAAAATGCACCAATATTTCACTATTTTAGGCCAGCACTGCCCAGGTCAAGCAGACGACATTACAGTGTTACTGGCAATAAGTATAGGGGGCGCTGGTGGGGGTCTCCTTCTTATCATCATCATCATACTTCTCATCCTACTTGGAACAAGAGGCAAGAAAGCAAAAACCCAAGAAACAACTACCTGCAAGATGACAGAAATTCATACAAATGAGGGACACCTTTCTACAACAGTTAATGACAATGAACAGCAATCAAGAAACAGAAGAGAAAATATCAATCCTACAGGCACAAGTCAAGAAGAACCGGCCCAATATATGAGTATAAATGTTTATGATGAAGCTGAAGAGAGAAATATGCCAGGTCACTCTAACAAAAAACATGTGCCAACAAGTCCAAAGCAAATGGATGGTAGCCATTACATGAATGTGAATGGGGGAGGGGAGGATGTCGCACCAAATAGTTGTCCTAAATATCTGCCTCCTTCAGCCAGCAGAAAAAGCTCTAAAAAGTTCATGGACACTTATGAAATTCAAACCAACCCAACAACTACCTCTTCTAGCTGGAAAACAGGCTGGGCTAAACAAGTCTCCAGTTTAAGCAGCTTTCTAGGTGAAAAGAAAGCCAGCAGGAAGCAAGGTCATAACACTGATACTGAATATGTTAATGTTAATGAATATGCAAATATCAAGAGATAGACATTTGACTGGAAGGAAGAAACCAAAAATTTAAGATCAATAATCAACAGAATGCAAAATGTTATTCAGATTAACTGGGAATGGACAATAATAAGTGAGCATATTTACCTTGATTTTACAATCCATACTGCAGGATAANAGAATACGTGCAAGTGCGTCTCGATTCCATGGCCCCGTATCTCGAAATAGAATCGGTTATGGAATCGAAACACTAACGCACGTGCGCAACATAGCGAACCTTTCGAGATACGGAGCCCTGATTTAGTTCCTGTAACTTACCATTCCCAGACCCGGAGAGATTTATCATCTGAGGTGGTGACAAACCTTCTGTTCTGATCAACAAATGTGATGGTGTTCACAGCTCCAAGATGGCGGTCATATTCCTGGACGATCTCCCCGGACCTCGTGTCCCACTGATGACAAATACAACACATTCTGTATTAGCAAACCAACAAAACCTAGAACATTATAGTAGGCTTGTTAAGAGGTCAAACGCTGCATTTTATAGTACAAATGTCTAACTTGGCATAAATGTTCCTTGGGCCAAAAGAAAATTTTTTATCCAAAGAGACGCCCTCTATCGATGCATAAATTAGCATAAATTATGCAAATAAGGTGCCAAAATATGTAATATTTCATATTCCCATTAATTGTTGGCCTAGAAACATGTATAGATTATCAAACCTGACTAAATTAGGGACAAGGAACCCATTTTTGATCATTTGGAAGCAATTGGTGGCCATTTTGTGCCTCAAATCCAAGATGGCCGCCACTCGCCATTTTGAAAGTGGACATAATTTTGCTATTTTATGTTGAATTTTGAAGCGTTTGGTCCATATATACTTGATATATATATATCGATTCGTACTATTTTGGGGGTACAAAAGTCATTTTTGATATTGTTTTGGTGAAAGTAGGTGATTTGAAGGGACAAAGAGGGTGTTTTAAGTGCCTAACAGGATATGTGTGAACGCTGCAAAACCATGGATATTGATAACCTATATTCAAATATATCTCAATGCAATTCTTTGTTATATACTATCCATATTGGACTAACTTATGAGCAAAAAAACTCATTTTTACCATTATGGAGGCCATGGGTGACCGTTCTATCCCTCAAATCCAAGATGGCCGCCAAAAACCATGAAATTGGTCCTAATTCACTATTTTGAAACTACATGTATTACATCTTTGTAAACGAGTAATACGTCGTTTTATATTATTTTCTTGTGCAGAATACATTTTCTGTTTCATAAAATTTGTGCCTCAAAGCCAAGATGGCCCTTATCTGCCATTTTCAAATTGAGCATTATTCACCATTTTGAAACTATCACACCTTCATAAGCGTGCCATACGTCATTTTTGATTATTTCCTGGTGCAGAATGCATTTTCGGTTTCATAAAATGTAATCAGAAACTTTTATAAGCCTCCAAATAAATATAGGATTCAGTCGCCACATGGGCCTGCAGTTTACATGTACAATTAGTAATCGAATTAGTACAAAACTGCTTTTGTCCGATCTATAAAACAAGTGTCAGCAAACAAAATGGCTGAATTAAAGCAAAAGAATACATATTTGACCGCATGAGGAAAATTATTAGCCATTATTGTGATCAAAACCAAGTGTTGGTTGCATGCCGCTTTTTTAATAATTTGGTGTAATTTATAATCTTTGAACTGTGGGACCCTCATTCGCTTGTATTGGGTAAAATGGTACTATTCTGGGGGCTCAAAAGTAATTTTCCGGTGCTAATTTGGTGACAGAAGATAATAAAAAGGTAGTATAAGGTTGTAAAATAAATTCCAAGATGAGTTTCGTTGAGTCTGTTACAAAAATGTGGAACCCGAACCACATGCTCAGATATATCATCTAGATTTAACTTAAGTGACCATCCACTAAAAGATACTGGATAATTTAAAGGTAAGCAATAAATATATATGCATAGTGGTGTTATATTATTCATCTTTTACTGGTCCATGTAAACCAAAAAGCCACACGTAAATTTATGTCCCAGTCGCTGGGGCTTGCATTTGCATGTTAAATATAGTCCAGAAGATTTGAAGGGTGAAAAATTCGTCGTCTTATAATACTATGAAACTTGGTTAGTTGTGTTGATGCGTAAATGCCCGTGAAAGACAAGCAAATGGACTTTGCTTTGAAATAGCTCCAGATCTTGCAAAACCATCAAGCAGCACAGCAAAAAGAAACGTGCATGATCAGCTCTGGTAGGCCAATAAGACAACAGCCAGTAAGAATTGAGGTTTTGTCAGTGTCCTATGAGAAACAGCCAAACAATATATTAAAATCCAGTTTTCAGAGAAACATCAATGCATGAGAACATGTCACATCAGAGGAAGAAGGAATCTGCAAAACCAACTAGAAAGCAGCAGCTGCCCAGGTAGGCAAGAGGGATGAAGCAAAATAGTCGAGGAAGCAGCCTCTTTTCCTAGTTGACAGTGCCAGTGATCATTCCTAGCATGATTTGGCCATCTCACTACCAATAGAAATCTATAAGGCGACTACATAGTTCTCATTGTTTCCAATGGACGAACAAGCACAAAACATCTACAGTATATGACAACTACAGGAAAATTCATCTTGGAATCATCTTAAAACACCTTATGCCTCTTTAGTTGTCCTCTGTCACCAGAATAACACCAGAAATTAATTATGTACCTCCAAAATAGTAACAATCGATGTATTACGATCATATGAAAGTCCAACAGCTCAAAAAAGGTCAATTATGCCATAATTTTAGAATAGCGACAGGCTCCTGAATATGAACAACAGAATAGCAAACAGTATTCACCATAAAGTCGAATCAGCCATGCTGGTCTCTTGCACTTAAACTATGTCTGGCAAAACCATTTTAAAACTGTTATATAACATATTTTTGCACAAATTTGACTTCAAGATGTATACAAGCGAAGGTGAAGACGTAAGCTTGGAGCCTTGTAATATTTTCTTTTTGTATTATATCTCAGAAGGGATAAGACACATGACTTCTACAACCCAAAAGATAAGAAACGACGTATAACATGCTAGTGTAAGAGCAATAGCTTCAAATTGATGAGTTATGCCCTACCCGTATTTCAAAATTGTGGTTGGCGGCCATCTTAGATTTGAGGATCAAAATGGCTACCAATTGTCTCCAAAGCACCAAGTATGTGTTCTTTACCTTTAATTAAGCCATTTTGGTCTCTTACACTTGTTTCAGGCTCTTAAGGATTTTATAAAACATTTTGTACTAATTAGACTACATGGCACATGTAAGTCTATTTGACAACTTAAGCCTACATGCATATTGATTTTGGAGGCTACAGTAGTTTGTACTCACATTTTATGAAACAGATAATGTATTCTGCACTCATTTCCAAAATGTAATACATATAGTTTCAAAATAGCAAATTATGCCCAATTTAAAAATGGTTTTTGGCGGCCATCTTGGAATTGAGGGATAAAACGGCCACCAATGCCCTTCATAATGGTAAAATGTGTGTGTTTTTTTTTTTTGCTCATAATATAGTCCAATAGCGATGGTATATAACAAAAAATTGCATTGAGATATATTTGAATATATCAATATCAATATCCATGGTTTTGCAGTGTTTACACATATCTGGGTAGGCACATAAAACACCCTCTTTGTCCCTTCAAATCACCTACTATCACCAAAACAATATCAAAAATGACTTTTGCACCCCCAAAATAGTACAAATCGATATATATATCAAGCATATATGGACCAAACGCTTCAAAATTCAACATAAAATAGCAAAATGTCCACTTTCAAAATGGCGGGTGGCGGCCATCTTGGATTTGAGGCACAAAATGGCCACCAATTGCTTCCAAATGATCAAAAATGGGTTCCTTGTCCCTAATTTAGTCAGGTTTGATAATCTATACATGTTTCTAGGCCAACAATTAATGGGAATATGAAATATTACATATTTTGGCACCTAATTTGCATAATTTATGCTAATTTATGCATCGATAGAGCGTGTCTCTTTGGATAAAAAATTTTCTTTTGGCCCAAGGAACATTTATGCCAAGTTAGACATTTGTACTACAAAATGCAGCGTTTGGCCATTTTTTGGTCCTTAACAAGCCTACTATTACTCAGCCTTGACATTTTAGCAAATTAAATAACATTTTGGCCCTACTTACAGAGTAAGGTAACTACAGCTGTGGAACCTGCTTCAGATTTCCGGAAGACAAAGTAAACTAAAAACTTCAACTACTAAAGCCCTTTCCACCTAGATTGGTCACCCGTACTCACAATGCTGATGTTCTAAACTCTCATTTCTTCAAATACTGGTAGGATTCTCATAAATTGGAAAAAAGACACCGACAAAAAATAACCACATCAATCTTTTTATAAAACTCACACAAACAATTTTCTTGTCTGAGGTGCCTGCCACAAAAAGGTGCTGTTTGTCCTCGTCTGGGTTAAACTTGACGCAGTACGGCACCTTCCGGCTGGTAAACCTGGACGTACACTGACCTGGAGTGGACAATTAGAAAATTACAGGTTTATAATTCAGTTTCTAGCGAAAGTCAAATACAATTTCCTTGAATTAGTTGAATAAAATAATACTTAAGTTCTAAACAACATCTGTTTCATATGACTGGGTCCAATATTACAGCAATATTTTTATGAGATTCTCTGACATAACTTCAGGAGGTCTGGAAACCTTTAAGTAAGTTATCTCATCTCAAAAGTATAATACATTTATGAGAAAAGAAAAAATATTATCCAGGATCCAACACTATATATCTTCTAAGATAAACCACTGATTCCTTTCCCCCCTGTCCCCGTCTCACCAGTTTCTGTGTCCCATAGTTTACAATATCTGTCATAGCCAGCACTGAGGAAGTGTGTGCCATCATTGTTAAAACTTATATCTCTAACTGCTTGTTTATGTCCACTGTATGTTCTGATACATCTCCTCTCATTGTACACTTCCCAGATCTAAAACACAAAATACAAATATCATTATATTAGATTAAAAATAAAATAAAATCTGGGCAAAGAATAGGAAAGACAGATGCTTAAGTCAGTGTGATGTTTGCTTTCTTCAAAAGTGAAAGAAACAAATCTGGTTAATCCTATATTGACATAATGGGTAGACTGAATATGTGCTTTAAAGGTGCTTGGTCTAAAACCTCTGAAAAGATAAATGGTGTTTTCCATAATGCCAGAATAAGACTAGGATGTCTAACTTGATCAAAAACCACAGGGTAAAACAAGGGTAGAAGTATAAAAATGCCAGATATGTTATCTATTCAGGTTATTTCCCTAGCCATCAAAAGCAAACAGCAAGTAAACACTACCCGCTTCCTGGTATCTTGTGAGTCACAAAGATCATAGTGTAGTTATCATGTTTTTTCATATCTCCCTGTGTTAGCTAATCAGAAAGTGTATCTTCCTGCTTGCACTTTAGCACAATTCCTCATTTATACCATCACATGTATATGGTCACAAGACCCCTTCCAGAGAAGTAACCCACATAGATCATTTGATTCACTGGCTGTAACTGGTCCACAATGGTCACCCAGAACACAGGACATGGCACGGTGGGCATCTGGTTAACAGCAGGTAAGAACATGGCTTCCTACACACTTTCCCACATGTTAATTTATTATCAAATCAGCTCATAATTACTGAGTCACACTTCTCTATACACGTGCTAATTCACTATCAAGCCTTTGGTCATCATTTCATAGTTCATGGATAAAATTTTCATTTTAATATCTCAAGCGAATGAGACCTGACTTTCAAAATGTTTCATCAAGATTTTCATGTCTATGTGATATCTGTTGTCTAGACTTGGTTAGTATACACTATGTATCAGCCTGAATCGTGATAGTGCTCTCCATATCTCTTGACTTCAGCATCACTGGTTGCCGTGTCAGCAAACTTTACCACCACCAATATGTCAAGTACCTCGACATCTCTGGTACCACTTACATCTCCAGATCCACTTCCACTACAACCACCTCTCCCTCCAGGTAACTACTGAACACTGACCATTGCTTTGTAGATTGATTTTTTGACACACCTGAATTTCTTGACAAGAAACTTTTACATGCATATAGATGAGAATACTTGTGCCAATCTAACCAATATCATTTCTTAAATTAGAGTTTATCATTGTTCTTTTTTATCCCAGTTCCAATGCCAACCAATATCTCAGCTCTGTGGTGTCATACGAACTTGACAATTTCCTGGGAGAACCCAGCAGAGGGTAGTGCTGATGTTTTACATACTGAAATCCTGCTCCTACACAACAATTCTTACCTCTGGGAGACCAGAACACTGATCTGTAAACACTGTTCTAATATCACTGTGAAGGGGCTTGAAGATAATAACAAATATACTATACAGGTATCTCTTTTAGCTTTTCCAATATATCAATCACACAGTAATAACATAAATGATGGAAATTCATCTGTGTAGTCTTTTGATTATTTAATACACTTAAACTTTTAAGAGTGTAGAAATTTAAAAGTTTTAGCTTATAAAATAAGCAAAAACACAAAGATTTCTTCATTATTTCAAATTTGTCTTTTAAAATAAAGAAAGGCTTATAAATATCCTACTAAAAGAAGCTTGTATTGATCTACCATAATACAATTTACTCTCATCTTTTTTCAAGCTTAGGGCACATACTGGCTCAGGAAGAAGCAATTACTCTGATTCGCTGGTTATTTCACCTGGCACTACAACCACATCTACCAGTAAGATTAATTGTCTAGCAAGTCAATCAAACTAGCACTTTACAAAATATTCTGTTGAACTTTTGATTTTGATAAGTATATTGCATATACTAATATATATTTCCTGTATTTCAAATTTTCATTCAGTCAAAGAAAAATTCTGATTGTAAAACTAGTTTCAATAAAATGCACCAATATTTCACTATTTTAGGCCAGCACTGCCCAGGTCAAGCAGACGACATTACAGTGTTACTGGCAATAAGTATAGGGGGCGCTGGTGGGGGTCTCCTTCTTATCATCATCATCATACTTCTCATCCTACTTGGAACAAGAGGCAAGAAAGCAAAAACCCAAGAAACAACTACCTGCAAGATGACAGAAATTCAAACAAATGAGGGACACCTTTCTACAACAGTTAATGACAATGAACAGCAATCAAGAAACAGAAGAGAAAATATCAATCCTACAGGCACAAGTCAAGAAGAACCGGCCCAATATATGAGTATAAATGTTTATGATGAAGCTGAAGAGAGAAATAAGCCAGGTCACTCTAACAAAAAACATGTGCCAACAAGTCCAAAGCAAATGGATGGTAGCCATTACATGAATGTGAATGGGGGAGGGGAGGATGTCGCACCAAATAGTTGTCCTAAATATCTGCCTCCTTCAGCCAGCAGAAAAGGCTCTAAAAAGTTCATGGACACTTATGAAATTCAAACCAACCCAACAACTACCTCTTCTAGCTGGAAAACAGGCTGGGCTGAACAAGTCTCCAGTTTAAGCAGCTTTCTAGGTGAAAAGAAAGCCAGCAGGAAGCAAGGTCATAACACTGATACTGAATATGTTAATGTTAATGAATATGCAAATATCAAGAGATAGACATTTGACTGGAAGGAAGAAACCAAAAATTTAAGATCAATAATCAACAGAATGCAAAATGTTATTCAGATTAACTGGGAATGGACAATAATATGTAAGCATATTTACCTTGATTTTACAATCCATACTGCAGGATAATAATAAGTGAGCATATTTACCTTGATTTTACGATCCATACTGCAGGATAATAATAATAAGTGAGCATATTTACCTTGATTTTACAATCCATACTGTAGGATAATAATAATAAGTGAGCATATTTACCTTGATTTTACAATCCATACTGCAGGATAATAATAAGTGAGCATATTTGGGGAACCAGCGAATGGCGGACACTCCCTTTGTATGCCCCGTCCAGGTGTGAATTTGTTTCTTCGGAATAAAACACTTCTCTGGCGGTTCTTCTGACTTCAGATTAACTCCAACGTCTTTCGGTGGATGCAGGAAAGAACGACCTTGGTAATCATATGGATCTTTGACTGGAAAAAAAAGAATAAACCCCATATATAAGAGCAAAACAGGGCACTGAATAAAGTGTATAGAAAAACAAGATACCAAATTAAGTTTCTAAAAATCAGCTTACTGTGTAATGTTGTCTTCTCATCTGCAATTTTCTCTTCCACTGTTTTCCCACGCTTGGCACGCTTTGCAAGGATTTCATCCAATGCTTCTTTCTCTTCCTAGAGAAGTAATATACATTTAAATAAAGTTGCTTTCTGAACTGAAACTGGTCATAGTGACTTTTTTAAACATTAACAGTAAAATGGCTGATGAAAACATCAAACTTTTCATAACATGTTCAACTCAAAAGCCAATATATATCATAACAGGGTCTTAAAAAGTAATATTATCATACAATTTATTGGACTGATCAGTGTAAAAAGTAAATTTTTAGAATCAATGTGTTTAGTTTAATCATCTTCATCACTTACCTCTGATGGCTTCATCACAGTCTTCTCATCTTCGTATTTTGCCCAGGGACCTAAATAACCATCAATATCGGAAGGATCATTGTTCTTCTGTTTTTTCCTTTTATCTCCTGGCCTCTGTTTTGACACCTCAAATACTGTTGTTCCTAGAAGCAATTACATTTATGAAAAATCTATGCAAAAAATATCAATGATTATTATATTAGGATGTTACAGTATAAAACTCAATTAATTCAAAATAAAACACATACTATTACTAGTTAGCTCTAAATATGAAATCCCTTGAGTGCATGAACCTTTAGCATTATAAGTATTTAATTATTTATATCCCATCCTATCATCTATCAACTATATATATATCAAGAAGGGAGAACTGTCTTCAATGTTTAATACATTTCAAAAGCTAAATCTTATCTAGAAGAGAAGATTTGACCAGATTTCCACTGTCTACCTTTATTTCCCTCAGCAGCGTCCACGTCTCCAACCAGTTTCTCTCCCTGCAGACTGCTCTCTACACTGGGGTCCATAGCATAACCTGGAGGAGGAAAGGGAACTAGGGATGGGATTATACGTGTGTGTGTGTGTGTGTGTGTGTATGTGTGTGTGTGTGTGTGTGTGTGTGAGTCCTAGAGAGAGAGAGTGAGTGTGTGTGTGGTTTGTACAAGACCGATTATGTTAATATGTGTAAGCCATTAACATCTCCTTGCTAAAGTATTTTTTTACCTGATATCTACAGATTATTCAAGTCACATTGCTACCTTTTTAATGATAATTAAGTAGTTGCCAATTAAGAGATTAATCAATGGAGGAATGAACAATTTCCCATGTGAACTGAAAAGGATAATCTAAGTTGTTATTTCAGAGATTACAAAACACACTATACATTCAGGTAGCACAGTAATATACATACCGTAACTCTGAAAAGTTCTCCTCTGTGTCTCAAACTGGAAGTGGTTGATGTGTGCCTCCTCTGCGTACCCAGACAGCATGTTCTTGGTGGCTCTCTGCTGCTGGGTTTTGAAGGGATTCACTGGTCCTACCTATACAAAGAGAACAACTTTTCAATAAAATATAACAAGCACAAAATATCACAACATTCAGAAAATAATTTAGCGTTTCAAGTCTTATTGCTAATAACTAATAAAACTAATAAGAAATAGCACATAAAAAGGCAAGAACTCACTGATAAATAACTTTCATTTTTTTTTGCGAATAAATGTAAAATACTAGTAGCTAAAACACAATACTTTGCAACATTAGGCTAATAATAATAATCATCATCATAATAATTATAATAGTAAAAACAATGGCATATCACCTCTGGTGTAAAGAGTTCCTCATATCGGGGATTGTGTGTTATTTCTTTTGTAGTAGGATGGAGGTACTTGGGAAGGTGTTCATCTCCCTGTAAAACAAAGGCCAGGATATATTACACTACACTTTCAAAACAGTGTCTCTCTGCAACTTTGACAAAAATGCTATCTATTCTAGACAGTATCATAGAGTCTTAGGACTTATGACTTGGTGGTCTTACCTGAAGTACTGTTAGGTGGTCGGCTGCTTACATAAATCATAGAGAAAATCACATTCAATTCTGAATGCTTGATCATCAGAAATCTTAGCACAAACAATTCAACAACATTACCTCTTAAAGGTATTGCAAGTTTTCTTTTTATTGGGAGGATCGATCAGATATAATATCTATGAGTTTGCAAAGATGCCTTCTCAAGTCAAATATTCACTTAATATTTAATTTTAACTCAAAGATACCAAACGTAGAGTTACAATAAAATCTGTGATCACACAGTACAGCTTACCTTTGGAGTAACTTGTGGTGCTGCATTTAGTGCTATTGTAGTGCAGCCTGCTTTCTTTTCTATGGGTTTCAAATGTGCCTGAAATTCCTGAAGATCTACTTCTTCTTTTTCAGAATCACTTGATTCACCATAACTTTGTAAATTCAACATCGTACAACGACGTTCGAATAACACACTTCCAATGTGTATCAACCTTATAGTAACTAACGTACGTGCAAACATGACATACATTTTGATATAATGTCTCTGTCAATCTTAATTATCTAATTTCAATACATAAGTGTATTAATTTGGATATTTTATAAGATATTTTATATCAAAAGGCATTTTAATGTAAATATTTCTGTTTTAACTTCAATTTTTATTTTCTATCCGAGCTAATTTTACCTGCGTTACTATTTATCAGGTTAAGGAGAAGCCTCGAGAATTGACGAGACTGAAAAATGATTTTACTTCCGTAAGAAAATATTTGACTCATTTACTGTAATTGTACACCAAATCATGTAGATTTACCATTTGTGCGTTTAAAGGTAAGTATATTGATGTATTCCGAATGATAAACAGCCGTGTAAGTAGTTGCTTATTTGTGCACAATTCCTGTGTAAATCAAAACGTAGACGGTCCAATGACAGTAACATCGACGAGGGTCGTGCACTCATGCAGACGGGATAATCCTAAAATCACTATCACTCCAGGAAATCTAGGGAAGCAAGAGAAATGTAGTTGTAAAGCCAAAACGCTGAAAGTGTACCTCAAGATATTTATATCAGTTCATCTTAAATAAGAGTTATTGGAGAGTAGTGAAATTTAAGTAATTTGAAGTTACTTCCTTGGACCTGTCCCAACTCCGACCTCGCCCATCTCTGGCTCCAGAGGCGAGAGCCTTGGGCAAAACCACAAATCCACACTCTTATATCATACCTCCTACAACCCTTGCACATTGATATTTGTTTGAAAACAATCTTTTTGTCTGGATATGGGATTTTAAATCTATTTTTGTGTTATCAGTTCTATAAATAAATGTGATAGTAAAATGCCACAAATGGATAGTTTCTACAAGCAGTCATGTATTAGGACACCTCACACCTCTTAATGCCTGAAGGCTTTATTGCTGTTTAAAACCAGGTTTAAAATTTCTCACTTTAATTTCAATGTTGGCAACTAATTAATAAATAGTCAGTTTTCAGGCCCAAAATGTTTCCATTCTTAAGATATCCTCAATTCGAGCTTACTTTTGAAATGTAAATGTACTTACACAACTAGCATTTCAGATGAATATTAATTTGAAATCCCATGTTGAAATGTACATTTTACTGAACATTGAATATTCAGCATCAAGTAAGCAAGCAGCATGCCTCTGATCAAGCGTGAGGTGCAGCCAGTGAACCTGAGCAGGGGTAGTATAGCCAAGGGTATCCACAATGAACTGGAGTGTGTAACCAATAACAGTCTAGCCAATGTGATCCATCAGCTGAGCAGTCTCAGTAAACATGCAGAGGACATGTTTGGAGAACTGTTCAATGAGGCTAATGCCTTCTTCCAGCGTGCCAATCACCTGCAGGAGAGAGTGGAAAGGTTAAAGGTCAAAGTGACACAGCTGGATTCTACTGTTGAAGAAGGTAAATCAAGTATAAAATGTGCAGAAGTCTTGTCTTTCTCAAATTGTAATATTAAATATTATGGATAGCAGAGAGTGAAGCTGTCTTTATGCAATATCTGGTCCCAGGCAGTCAGAATTCTTCATTTTGCCTTTTAATTTGGGGTTAATTAACAATTAAGGCTCAATCCAGTGTTTTTGTGTGTCAGCATTTTGTAGGAAAATATTGAAGAAACTTAAACTAACAACTGCTCTACATTTCTTGCATAATTTCAGTGTCGTTACAAGATATCAACATGCGTAAACCATTCCGTGGTGCCAACCTGACTGACCAGCAGGTCGTGTCCAGGAGAACCATGCCAGTGGCCATGCAGGAGACATATCACAGATGTGACCAGCCCCCTCCTCTGGCTAAACTTAACATCTACAGGTAACTTTACCAGCCCCCTCCTCTGGCCAAACTTAACATCTACAGGTAACTTTACCAGCCCCCTCCTCTGGCCAAACTTTATAAGTTATAAGTTCCTGATATTTGCTTTTTGCAGATTAGGAAAAATAGCTTAACTTAGCTGTGTTGAATGCTACCTTTGAATTTGAGAATTTTGTTGTAACCAGAGCAACTAAAACACATAAGAAATGCTAAGCCTGTACATGACAAAACTTCCTACCTGCTCTGTCTTTATGTCAATATAATGTTTGTCTTTGCAGGGAGGATGGTAAAGACAGCATGAAGTTCTACACAGATCCTAGTTATTTCTTTGAGTTATGGCTACAGGAGATGCAGAAAGACACAGAACAAAAGAAGGAGGAATACATCAGGAAGAGGAAAAAAGTAAGCAAGATTTTCTTTAGATATAAATTTCAAAATATTTGAGAGCAGTGTTAGAAATTAAGGCTGGACCGTCTGCCCGGGGCTGACAACTTTCAGAACGGGCCGAGAAGTTTTCCCACCCAGTACACATTCAGTCCAGCTACTTTTCAAGATGGCTGGACTTTCGGTCCAGCAACTTATTTTCCTAAGAGGCAAACACTGTTTGAGAGAAAAACATCCTGATATGTATAAAGATAAAAGATCTTAAAAATGACTTCAAAGTAGGGAACAAATTAGAAACTAGGTCATAATGAATTATAAAAATTAGTTTAAGTGAGAAAAAAAGAGAAGGAATGTTAGATGAACATCTGTACTGTGCTAACTTTACAGCAAAGGCCTCGCGCTGGTGGAACACACAGCAAGAAGCCCAGAGAAATCAAAACCAGGAAAGAATATTATGAAAAGTTCAAGGATGGTGTGGAATTGGCTGACAATACCAGACAAGAACCACAGCAAAGGCCGAGACAAAGCCAGCAGCATAATCGCCCAGATAGCCTGCAGTTCCAACAACAACACAACCAACAGAGGCCGCCCTCTTCCGCCAACAGTTACTACTCTCCTCGTATGAGCCAGATGGATTCTGGGAGCACTGGGCCAGTCCCTGAGTACCACCAGCCCCCGCCCTATGACCCCCAGAGAGGGGCCAGGAATACCAGGTCTTCTTCCATGTTGAATAGTGGCCGACCCATGCAGCCTCCTCCACAGCCACCCCCACAACAACCTGCCATGACCTCTCCTCAAGATTTACGATATAGAGGAGACAGTGGTAGCAGAGAGAGTCTGCCGCCACCACCACCACCGCCGCCATTCATGCAGCCCATGAATACTGCAGAAAACAACACCCCCTCCTCCCCAGACCCAGTGGAATACCGTCACCTGTCCCCAGGGAGACCTGCCCCCAAGAGACCCTCTGCTGAAGACTTGCCCCCTCCACCCCCACCCCCTCCGATAGCCATGATGAACGGCAGTGGGGGGATACCCCAGGCCCCACCCACACCCCCTCCCCCCATGCCAGACCCTGCTCCTAATATGGCCACCAACATGGCTCCACCCCCACCCCCTCCCCCGCCACCCCCAGGGATGAACACAGGGAGTGTGGAGGCAGGGCTGGCACCCCCTGACATGGCGCCTGATGAGGTGTCGCTGACGTCTACTAACAGCTCTATCACTGCTGATAACAAGACCCAGCCAGTGCGAGATGAGAGGAGTGATCTGCTGTCTGCCATTAGACAAGGTAAGGACTAGTTATATACCTACTAACTGCTGGGGAACCTCTAACACAATCACTTGGTTTGATGACAAAGTGAACTGCTTCAAATCCAGGTGTTGTACATTGCATATGTTTTTATACTTGGTTTAACTTTTTCATTTTGAAATGGAATTTTTGATATGCATCAGCAAAATTGATGAATTTTGAATTATTGTACTTATAACAAATAACATGTTGAATTTTATCTGCAAGATTTTTACCTACTGTTCACAGCATGTTAGTCCTCACCAGTAAATGTGTTTTGTAACATGTCATGCACATAATTAAGCATATTTAAAGTTATTTCTTTTATTTAATTTTTGTGTGGCACAGTCAAGGAAAAGGGTAAAGTTTAGCTTTTACTGTTATACCTAATCACAAATGATAGTGCTTATCACTGATAATTTGTGCACAGTGGCTTTAACAAGACTTCAGCACAGTTTAGAACTGTTTAGAACAGCACAGCTGGGCTTTTAATAAAGCACTTAATTTGTGATAAGGTCAAGTCTATGTAACATGTACCATTTTCTCTTTGCTTGTGGTGCATTTTGTTTTTGGTGATACATTTGTGAAGTGTAAGCATTTGTTGCTGAGATAAAATTTTGGAAGACCAGTAGTGCTTTTCATATGCTGGACTAAGCTTATAGTAATTGCACTTAACATGTCTAAAGTTCTTGCATTACTGTAAGTTTACAGTACATTCATTTAGATGTTTTTTTGGTCAGTTTCATTCAGTCAAGATTATTTTGATATCATGGGATTCATAGAGAAATGTCTCTCTGATCATCTGTTAGTAATTACTTCATGTGGAATTCCAAGGTAATAAAGACTGTTCCCTGTGTGGACAACTGTCACTTGATGCATAAATCAACAAAACAAGGACAAAGTTTACACAAACAGATAAAAACAAATACAAGATTTCCACAAACAGCATAAAAATTGACACCAGATTTCCACAAACAATAAAGTCTAGATTTCCACAAACAACATAAAAATAAAGACCTGTCTTTCTCCACAAACAGCCTATTCCTAGAGCTGCGTGTGTATTGAGAAGCTGTAGTTGACCCCCATACATTACCCCTTCCCTGTGTGCCGTGCTGGGTCTTGACTGCTTTGACTTTATCCAAGGTTCTGAATTTATACTGAATTTTAATACCATTCTTAATGCTGTTTTCAGGCTTCAAGCTGAGGAAAGTAGAAGAGCGTAAGATGAAGGAAGAGCAGAAGCAGGCCAACAGTGGCAGTCTGGACGTACAGTCCATCATGGACAAAGCGTTTGAGATGCGTAGAAAGGCCCTGGAGGCCAGTGATTCTGAGGAGGAAGAATGGGAAGACGGAGGAGAGTGGGGCAGTGATGATGATTAATGAAAGTGTTCTACATGGATCAGACACGGAGGAGAGTGGGGAGTGATAATAATGTATATTTGACTCTGTATGGATCCTGCTGAATAGTTGAACTACAAGTTAGAAATATCATAGTTAACTTTTTTGGTTAAATTTAAATTGACTTTCAAGGAATAGATCATCAATAGGAGAAGTGTTTGCATCAAGCAGTTTCAAGATGTATCTTCCTAGTGTTCTGATAATGCAAAAGGAAGCATGTGGTACAGGAAAAAATAAACTTAAATCCTAAGAATAGTTTTAAAAAAGGAGAAAATTTGGTTTGGGAACATTAGTTATAAAAATGTTTTTGAAAAAATTCTTAATGCTGAACACGAAGGTAAATGCTTAAGAAAAATGATATTTCATGTCATATGGTTCCAGTTAACATTTGCAAGTATAGTTAAATAAAATTATTAAATTTTCTTTTTGATGAAATGAGATGTTGGATTATAGTATTAACAAAAAGTACTTGATACATAGTAATTATGGGTATGTTTATGTTCCTGTAATTTGAACATCCTAAAAAGTCACAAACTGTGATGATAAATGACTTAATGAAACGATTGTATTTTAAATCTAAGAAGAGGGATATTGTGTACATTATGATATCCAGTATCTAGAGAAGATGTCCAGTATCTAGAGAGGATGTCCATTTTCTAACTGCACGCAGCATCCATAACTGCTTTCTGAATTTTGTTATGTATGTATATGTGTGTGAGTTTGTATGTATGTGCGTGCATGTATATGTGTTCACATGGTCACACCCCTGGAACTGTGTTCTTGCTAAAAAGATCTGTAAATTGTTTAATTTCATATAGGTTTATATGTACCCATTGCCAGAAAGAAGTGATACTTGAAATTTTACTCACTATTAGAGTACACGTTGATTTTCCAAACATTTAACCAAGCTCTAGTGGCAATAATGTTAAAATCAGACAACAGATGTTTTCAACAGTCAAATATTTCCTGTATAACTTAATAGCACTACACAGAATACTGATGATGGTGAGACGAGCTAATTTTGATAGTTGAGAACTCCACAAGAATTTGACTGTTAATATATAAGTAAACTGGTCGTTATGTGTTTTTAAGGGTCGGGTAATTAAAATGTTTTTTGTTAATGTTATGTTATAGGGCCAATTTTGTACTATGGGAAAAAATGATGAGGATATGGTGATTTTCACATGGCAAGTCTTCATAAACAGTAGAATGATAAGTTGGTAAACGGGTTTAGTAGGGCTCAGTGTTGTCTTATATCCTGCAGATGATAGGATTTGAAAAGCTGTCGTGTTATGTCTTTTAATGATGAAATATATTGTTTTGTTTATCAGTTAAAACCTTGAATTTAAGTCATGGTTGGTGTTACACGAAAAGTATACGGTCTACTACCCGCACCAGATGATCTAGATCAGTGTCCTTTGTGATTGTCGTCCAGTAAGTCCTTGAGGTGATTGAACCATTGTTGTCCCCAACACTGACAAATAAACTCTCGACAACTGAATCTTGTGTGTTTCTGTATTCCTGACGTCTGTGGATTTTGAATTAACAATCGAAATAAATAGAAACGAGATTTTGTGAGATCGCCTGCCGGAAGACCTTACACGTGCACTGATAAGTGTTCTTCTCAGAACGCCTGAGAGAAAGAATTGAGAACAAAGGTCCGAAACTTGTAATAATTCTATTACATTTAACAGATGCAGTTTATGATTAAGTAGAAATCCGTTCTAGGCTCCAAACTAGTTATTCTTGGCAAACTCGTGTACTATATAGTGTGAAAGAGGGGCGGAGTAAATGCTTTTGAAAAAAAAGGCCGTTCAGGCTGAGACGGCGGCATAGAGGACGTCACGAGCGACTAGACCTTGTTGACATGTCTTTGGTAATCCCCTAAGTCTAATCAAGGAGTTATAACTCCTTGGTCTAATGGTAAATAGAAATGGCACCGGCATAAAATATAGAGGCCTATTTCTACCAACGTTGATTGATGTCAAAGTATTTTTTTACAATAAATGCTTACGCCATATGTCCAATAAAATATCAAAAATTATACCCGCATTTCTCGATTTTGTCATATCTTTTCCCCTAGCTACAGCCCCCATAGACCTAAAGCTATTGTTAGTTTTTTGGTCTTGTCGCAATAACGAATGCAGAAAGATAATAAAAAAGATACAAAAAAGACATGCCAGCGATATTTTATTGTGAAAGCGTTTTTCTGACACCAAAGCCAACGTTTTGCCTGTATAAGAACGACCGTTCATGTTGTATATGACCTTCATGATACGGTGGTTTACGTATAAATTATCTGGCAGAAATAGTTTTTGAAATTATTTCTCAATCATTCTATTACTATTGTTACTTGCNAAATGTTTTCAACAGTCAAATATTTCCTGTATAACTTAATAGCACTACACAGAATACTGATGATGGTGAGACGAGCTAATTTTGATAGTTGAGAACTCCACAAGAATTTGACTGTTAATATATAAGTAAACTGGTCGTTATGTGTTTTTAAGGGTCGGGTAATTAAAATGTTTTTTGTTAATGTTATGTTATAGGGCCAATTTTGTACTATGGGAAAAAATGATGAGGATATGGTGATTTTCACATGGCAAGTCTTCATAAACAGTAGAATGATAAGTTGGTAAACGGGTTTAGTAGGGCTCAGTGTTGTCTTATATCCTGCAGATGATAGGATTTGAAAAGCTGTCGTGTTATGTCTTTTAATGATGAAATATATTGTTTTGTTTATCAGTTAAAACCTTGAATTTAAGTCATGGTTGGTGTTACACGAAAAGTATACGGTCTACTACCCGCACCAGATGATCTAGATCAGTGTCCTTTGTGATTGTCGTCCAGTAAGTCCTTGAGGTGATTGAACCATTGTTGTCCCCAACACTGACAAATAAACTCTCGACAACTGAATCTTGTGTGTTTCTGTATTCCTGACGTCTGTGGATTTTGAATTAACAATCGAAATAAATAGAAACGAGATTTTGTGAGATCGCCTGCCGGAAGACCTTACACGTGCACTGATAAGTGTTCTTCTCAGAACGCCTGAGAGAAAGAATTGAGAACAAAGGTCCGAAACTTGTAATAATTCTATTACATTTAACAGATGCAGTTTATGATTAAGTAGAAATCCGTTCTAGGCTCCAAACTAGTTATTCTTGGCAAACTCGTGTACTATATAGTGTGAAAGAGGGGCGGAGTAAATGCTTTTGAAAAAAAAGGCCGTTCAGGCTGAGACGGCGGCATAGAGGACGTCACGAGCGACTAGACCTTGTTGACATGTCTTTGGTAATCCCCTAAGTCTAATCAAGGAGTTATAACTCCTTGGTCTAATGGTAAATAGAAATGGCACCGGCATAAAATATAGAGGCCTATTTCTACCAACGTTGATTGATGTCAAAGTATTTTTTTACAATAAATGCTTACGCCATATGTCCAATAAAATATCAAAAATTATACCCGCATTTCTCGATTTTGTCATATCTTTTCCCCTAGCTACAGCCCCCATAGACCTAAAGCTATTGTTAGTTTTTTGGTCTTGTCGCAATAACGAATGCAGAAAGATAATAAAAAAGATACAAAAAAGACATGCCAGCGATATTTTATTGTGAAAGCGTTTTTCTGACACCAAAGCCAACGTTTTGCCTGTATAAGAACGACCGTTCATGTTGTATATGACCTTCATGATACGGTGGTTTACGTATAAATTATCTGGCAGAAATAGTTTTTGAAATTATTTCTCAATCATTCTATTACTATTGTTACTTGCAATAAATAGTGGCAAAAGTCAATGACTAAACTATACATAACAATGCGTTCCAAATGTGCTGCAATTGCTCAAAAACGGGCTGTCGCGGTGATCTCTAACTGAACAAGAATTCTCGAATGCGTTTTACATGTACCTGAAACGGTCCATTTTATCTAAATTAAAATTCTCTATAAATATCGTTATCGTAAACGAGAACTAATTAACATTATTGAAGGTCCGACTGCGCCACCAAGCGCTCCTTATTGTTAATCTTTTCTTTCTGCTTATTTATTAATAAATTTAATCAGTTATATTGCGTTCACTACGGTGCCTTTCACTCTCTGCTGAAAAAGAAATACTTTTTAAGCTACTCCGACTTAAAACTGGGAACTACAAAGAGCTAAGAGAGCTAAACATTTTGGACTATCGCGCAATGCCTTGTGTCACTTTGTCTTTATAGATTTAAAATGCTTGATCGTCGAAATATTTCAGTTCAAATTCGATCCCTTGTTAACGATTGTTAAATGTATTGTGGATTGCACGCAGAAGGGAAGGGCATGCTGTCATTGGCGTCTAGCAGCAATGAAATAAATTGTCTGAGACTACTTTTTTAAAGCAGAGATATTAATAAATGTGAGTTGTGTTCGAAATGTTTTCCGTGTTTTATGAGACCATCAAACCTCTTTACACATAGGCCCTACTAATATATAATGTGCGTTTCCAGTGTAGGTTCCCCAGCGTACAGGGGGTAGAGGAAATACCTTCACGAACAATTAATGGTCATATCGTTTTCACTTGCCGGTAGTTATCAACGCAGTCGGCATGGCAACTGGGTGTAGGGCGCACTGAACCTATGTATCACAAGACTGAAATGGAAATACAATCCATAATGGAATAGAAAGGCAGCATATCTGATTTGGGTTGGACGAGGGCCAGTAAAACTGTATTTGTTGTCTTTTCTTTGTGTTGTTTTTCATTCTTTTTTGGGATTCTAGCCGATAATATCTGAGAAGTACTGTGCGATATCTTTTGAAAAGAGTGCTGGAATAAACGCTTACTTTCTCCTGGAAAAGTTGATGAAAACTCTCATGAGACATATTTAGGATGAGGCAGAAGGTAGCCAAGGAAAGCTTTGCCCATGTAACAATGGGTCACACAAAGTAAACGTCACACACAGACGTGGACACGTCACAAACGATGTATATCCGGAAGACGTCGTTACCAAGGAAACAGAAAAAAGTAAACTGTGCTAAACAAGAAGATACACGGATCATCGGAAAACATGTCAGCAAACAAGAACCCACCGTCTTAAGAAATAAAGACGGGCGATCATGGATTCCTACCGCGGCGACAATGCAGTTCTTGAACACAGACGTCGACGCTCCTCTCTCCCGGCTTTTTGTGTGGCAAAGATTGTATGAAAACACGTTCTTTAATCCCAAGCCAAAATTTACAAGTAAGTTGTCTTTGAAGTAGGCTTAATACATGAACCAGTTCAAGGTTTGCAGGGTGAATACAGGTTATTCTAGTTCTTAATTTAACACAGTGAGTGATCCAGAATCTAAAGGTCGACTTTAGCATTTTAACCGAAAATAATTCATATAACATTTTAAATCTGTATAATAATTCTGATCGTTTTGCTCATTTCATGTTCTTGAGTTTTCTACATAGTTCAGTTGGTATATCGTTTATTTGTTTTAAAGTTTCCTAGTGATTCTCAGTTCTTCACTTCTGGTTTAGGTGCAGATTATGCAGAACGTTGCGGAAAGAAATCAGCGCAAATTAACATGGACAGATTATGTGTAGTGAACAAGAAATCCACACTACACCCCTATCACCGAGCTCTGAACAACGCTAAACTTCATTACCAAACAGAACAGTTTTACTCAAACTTGGAAAATAATTGCGACACTTTTCCCGAGAGATGGAAACCTCCCGTCAAAGAAAAATCCCCAGTGCGACGGTTTCCTCTTCTTGCACCAATCACACCTCCGACAACTAAAACAATTGCCAAAAAGACTCGTTATCCAGCTTACGATTCCAACGGTCGACCGCTGCCTAGAAGACCCGCCAATGCGACACACCAAGCGGATCCCGCTCCAATTTCAGAGTTTGAAAATCTCCATCCTACCTTCTGCGTTCTCAGTCGGGACGGGTCTGCTGACCAGCTGGCTTATTATCGTCACCGCTTTCCTTTATTACTCAAAATTATCAAGGGAGATAACGTGACGGATCCATCCAGACCTAATACCGGATTACCAAGACAGGTCACCGGATTAACCACCAGGCCTAAAACATCCGATAAATAGCTGTAACGGATCCTTCGGACGACCAGTAACAGGAGCATCGAGTTAAAACACATTTGAATAAAACTTGCTGTTATAATACACTAAGAGGTTTATTAGATCTTAGTAATACGCAATTGTTTGCTGAATTATTTAAAAAGAGAAAGGCAAAATTTATGAATAATGTAACAAAGCACATCATTTAAACATGTTTACTATGTGTTTATTCTCAAGTAGAAAAAGGACTTATCTTTTTTTGTTTGAGCAAAGTCGCAATGGATGGATTCTCATTAGTATCACAGTAAAAACAAATTACTTTTAAAACTCACAAATAAGTAAAACATCGACCCCCTCAAAATGTATGCAATTTATAATTTTTGTAATATTTTACGTTTTGACAATAAGTAGAATTCAGTACTAATATCGTTTTAACAATGAAGAACCCTCATGATGTGACGACTGAAATGACTACACATTAAAATCAGTTTTCTCTCTTTTCTTACTGCTTTTGACGTGGACTTTTAACGTGGACTTTATCATCTGGGTCTTAATCTGGCCGAACAGAAAGATCATAAAAACTTCTATATCACAATCTTCAGAAGTCAAATGTCCGTATCTCCTCCTTTGTAATGAATTCTGTTAGTACAATGTAAACTAAATTGTACAGCTTTGTGAGCCAAATAACCACTTTGTAAACCTCATACTGAACATATTGCTTACCAGAAATTGACCAAAAAGAACAAATTCTGGAACAATATTAAGGTCGTTCACTTATAAAAAGTGGAAATCGACTGATTCAGAAGATATAATTCCAGTGTTGTCATGCTGGTGTCATTTCAGCAGTTTTTAAAAAGTCTGGAAATGTCCTTTCATCACATAACTCACAGTTCAATGTATACTGGACAGTTTCATTTCATGAATTATATACATGTATTCTAATTCATCAGAGAAGTTGAATCACTGTATAAGTTTTTTCAAGACACCTTTTTATCAGTCAGATTTTAAGAGATAGTGATTTCCCAACTCCTGTCCAAATGATGTTCAATCTGTTATATAATAGCAACCAAATTTAAAGCAGACACAATGTCTGTTGATAACTATTGGCTCTCAGCAATCTGATCATCCATAAGTATCAGGTCAATTGGTCAGTGTCTGCGGCCTGATACTTAAGCTGTGCCTACTGGAGTGTTATGTGTATGATGGGACTGCCTGGTTTCATCATGTCTGGATGGAATAGTGGACATTGGTCAATTGGTCAGTGTCTGCGGCCTGATACTTTAGCTGTACCTACTGGAGTGTTATGTGTATGATGGGACTGCCTGGTTTCATCATGTCTGGATGGAATAGTGGACATTGGTCAATTGGTCAGTGTCTGCGGCCTGATACTTTAGCTGTACCTACTGGAGTGTTATGTGTATGGTGAGACTGCCTGGTTTCATCATGTCTGGATGGAATAGTGGACAGTGTCAGTTCAAAGGGGTCGGAGGGACTGGCAAACAGGTGCATCTTCTCTTCTGGAAATATAATATTGAACAATGAGAAAAAATGATGTATTCTGATTAAAGGTCAAGATTGCCCCAAGACGTGATACTCATAGCCAGAATATTTAAACTTTATAAGAACTAAGAATACAAGAATATTGTTCAAAATATGAAGGAAAAAAAAAACATCACAATGCTTACCAATGACTCTCTCAGATTTTGCAGTTGTAGCAACTTCTTTCCAACCAGATAAATAACTGAAATACAGTAAGTATGAATAAATTAAATATATTTTAAAACAAATAATTAAAGTAGATAATAATGGGTTGGTATTGGTATGGACTACACAAGAGTCACCAACAAACAAACAAACAAATTTATTAAGCAATAATTCTGCTATCTAAAGTTGTCCTTAAATAATAATAAGACATACATGTAAATAAGAAATGATATTCTGCAGTTCTTGAATAATAATTAGACATATATGTAAATAAGAAATGATATTCTGCAGTTCTTGAATAATAATTAGACATATATGTAAATAAGAAATGATATTCTGCAGTTCTTGAATAATAATTAGACATATATGTAAATAAGAAATGATATTCTGCAGTTCTTGAATAATAATTAGACATATATGTAAATAAGAAATGATATTCTGCAGTTCTTGAATAATAATTAGACATATATGTAAATAAGAAATGATATTCTGCAGTTCTTAAATAATAAATAGACATATATGTAAACTAGAGGATCAGAGAGGCGATACCGCCTCCGAATATTGNAGTGGACAGTGTCAGTTCAAAGGGGTCGGAGGGACTGGCAAACAGGTGCATCTTCTCTTCTGGAAATATAATATTGAACAATGAGAAAAAATGATGCATTCTGATTAAAGGTCAAGAATGCCCCAAGACGGGATACTCATAGCCAGGATATTTAAACTTTATAAGAACTAAGAATACAAGAATATTGTTCAAAATATGAAGGAAAAAAAAACATCACAATGCTTACCAATGACTCTCTCAGATTTTGCAGTTGTAGCAACTTCTTTCCAACCAGATAAATAACTGAAATACAGTAAGTATGAATAAATTAAATATATTTTAAAACAAATAATTAAAGTAGATAATAATGGGTTGGTATTGGTATGGACTACACAAGAGTCACCAACAAACAAACAAACAAATTTATTAAGCAATAATTCTGCTATCTAAAGTTGGCCTTAAATAATAATAAGATATACATGTAAATAAGAAATGATATTCTGCAGTTCTTGAATAATAATAAGACATATATGTAAATAAGAAATGATATTCTGCAGTTTTTGAATAATAATTAGACATATATGTAAATAAGAAATGATATTCTGCAGTTCTTGAATAATAATTAGACATATATGTAAATAAGAAATGATATTCTGCAGTTCTTGAATAATAATTAGACATATATGTAAATAAGAAATGATATTCTGCAGTTTTTGAATAATAATTAGACATATATGTAAATAAGAAATGATATTCTGCAGTTCTTGAATAATAATTAGACATATATGTAAATAAGAAATGATATTCTGCAGTTCTTAAATAATAATTAGACATATATGTAAATAAGAAATGATATTTTGAAGTTCAGCTGTCTGGGTGACTTCTGATGACATAGAGCCATATTTAAGCCTATATTGACCGCAACCCTGTAGTCAGCAATTTTAAAGGCCGTATTGTATCAGATCTGACTGCTGGGTTAAACCATAGAAGGATTACACAGAGTTTCTTCAAATGGTGGCTTAAGGGTGTTGTAACCTTTTATTATCATCCAGATACCGGTGTTTGTGGGTACTCAGGTAAAGGAGAAATTGGAGAAACCCGTTTCTTTCAATTTTTACCCCAAAACTACAATAATGATGTCACCTGTGAAATGACGTGTGAAAATGTTAATGCAGACCATACGCTTGAACACACTTTAAGTGGCTATCTGTGACCTACTCATCAAAGTTAAGACTAGTTGTCCAGTCCAGCAGTTCGTCCACCTCCCAGTCCTGGACGGCGTCCAGACCCTCTCTGTTGATAGTGTCCACCATGCCTGCTGCAGCGCCCTCTATCAGCTCTTTGGTCTCGTTGTCTTCAGTGCGTGCCTTCAGCAGACCATTTTTATACCTGCAGTCACAGGATGGAAATGAACTCACAACTGCCAAGGCTTGCATATAGAAGAGTTTTCCAGGATAATTTTATGACAGCAGAAAAATAAGTAAAGAAAAATTTCTTTTCAAATTGTCATTAATTAATTAATTAATAAAACAGAAAAACACTTAGCAGAACATGGCCCCCCTAAAAATGCAACTGAACAAAAATTAAACTGAAAAAGTTCTTGGGCTTTTCAATTTAATAAAATCCCACATTGGTAAATGATAAGGGAATAAAAGTTTATACTTACATTGTTTTCATCCATTCAATTTTTTTCTGCTTTTTTTTCTTCTCCACATCTTGACGTCTTTGTAGCTATAAAACCAAGTAAAAATATTTATGTATTGAAAATATTTCACTTATGCTGAAACACCAACCTGTCATTTCAATACATATTCACAGTGATGTCCACTCATAGAAAGCTGGTAAAAATCTACTATACACACTGTTAGATTGTCCTTATTTTAAAACATTGTCCTCTGCCCTCCTCACATACACACAGACACTTAGACTAAAATGATGACATAAGTAACTGAAGTCTTCTACATGTACAGCCATTGTGTTACTAACACAATAGATGCTAGGTAAGGTCACTCTGCAAACTTAGCCTGTACTTATGTCACCTTGATATAACCTCTGTCTGGCACCTGCTTATTTCATTAATATTTTCCTCTCCCCCCCCCGCCCCG